AGGCTCAAAGCACTGTAGAATCTCCTCATTGGTGAAGGTCATGTACCCCTCCTCAATGCCAGCCTCGGGGAATTCAGCCTCGATACCGACGTCGACAGCCCACTTTTGACCATTGTTTCGGAAGTCGGCTTTTATCCTGTTCTCGAAGTCCATGATGCATTTGGCGTACACTTTACCGGCTGTCTTGGAGCCATCTGGGAGTTTCATCTTCCTAATCTTGGCTCGCAGGATGTTGCTGAAGTTGCGGTTGAGAGCGGTGGAACCACACGAGTCTCCGGATCCAGCTGTGCACTCGGCGACGGAGAAGGGCTGCTCTTCTTCGACTTCGTAGGCGATCAAATCGACGGTACCACCACCGCAATCGACAATGAGGACGGCGTCGTGTATCTTGAGGTTGAGCAGACCGGTCTTTGAGCAGAACATGGCGGCGGCTTCGGGTTCGGTGATGAGGGTCAGTCGGTTGTCGTTTTCGTCCCGCAAGAAACCAGCCTGAATGGCAGCCGCACGCGTTGCAGCCTTTCCAGCGTCGTTCCAGATGGCGGGTACTGTCAGGTAGTATCTGATGTTGCGCTCCTCACGGTTGAAGACCTCACCAAGTGTCTTCTGCAGCTGGTTCCGCATCGCCTGGCGCAGGTGGAAGAGGTAGTCGGCGGCGACATCGATCTCAGACTTGCCCGGGGGTAGCGGCGGGAGGTTGATGGGGTCGATGTATGTGTTTCCGGACAGCATGAGCTGCAGCTTGAACCATTCGACCTTTTGCACGCCAGGCTTAGGGTAGCCCGTGGGGGCCAGAGCATCGGCGATGTCAGGGCCCCATCCGACTACCTTCTGGTACTGGTCGTAGTAGAGGACGGTGGGAATCTGGGAAGGGTTAGCGGGTACATGTGGAGGTGTCGGTCTAGCGCACCTTCTGCTTTGTCTGGTTGCCCGCGCCAGGCCATTCGGTGATGATGTCTTCCTTGGCCTCGGTGTTGGTCGCAAAGGCGAATGCGACGCCGGAGAAGGTGGTGCCCTGTGTGGCATGGTTAGCTGCTGCTGCGTCCGGGGGTGTCTGAGGCTGCTCACAAAGTCGATGCCCACAATGAGCTGGGCCTTGGAGCGACCTTCGCCCGCTACCTCTGCCATGCCTGAAGGCCTATTGTACGTTGCGGGGGGACCATGAGGGGCAGGAGCTCCCGGCGGAGGAGCGCCGTAGCCCTGGCCGTACTGTCCAGCTCCCGGCGGGCCCTGTGGAGGATAGCCAGGCGGGCCAGCCTGCGGCGGGTAGCCCATGGGGGTCTGCTGGGGTGGGTAGCCAGGCGCGCCCGTGTTGATGGGCGGCAGCGGGCTCGCGGGCCTGCCGTGCTGTTGTTGGGGCGCACCGAGGCCGCCGGGCGGGGCATAGGTGTACGAGGGCGGGCGGCCCAGGGGGTTCTGCTGGTTCATGGGGAGCGAGGTGCTGCTCGAATTCGAAGCCTGGGGCGATAGCGACGTCGGTCGTTGCGCTCCCGTGGGGGCGGGATTGCCTTGGGGCGTGGGCGAGGGATTGTGTGAGGAACTCTTGCGTTTCGAACCCACTAGGTTCTTGAAACGGGCGTTCATGGAACTCATGAGAGAGGAGGGAGGAGGGCTGGTTAGGCGGGAGGGGTGCGGTGCAGGATATCTGGGAGCGGTGCTGCGGCTGACAGCAAGCTGGGCGCGGTCCAAACGGCGCAAGCTGCAAGGCTGTGTGAAGGAAAGCCCGCCAACGCGGTGCGGCGCAGTCCCGGAATTGGCTGGGGCAGCTGGAGGACAGGCAAAGTATCCTCGAGCTTGACACGGCAGATGCAGCGCGCGCACACCCAACAGTTCAAGTCCCTGGCCACGGCGCTTGCTGGCGAAATTGACGCGGCGGGGTGAATTGTACACAAAGAGCGGGTCACTCTCCGCCGGTCAGCATCCTGGGCATCCTACGCCACATACTAAGGGCATTGCCTACGACCAGCCACGTCGAGCCGCTGTCAAACACGCCTGTTCAGTCCAGTTCCCAGCGGTACCCCAGCGACATGCAACGACTATTCCCGGCCGAACACCACGTGCTGAGCAGGGCCGACTCTCAAGAGGACAAGAAGACAAGATAGTTTCCTCAAGCACTCTGGCGGCCTGACCAATCCATCAACGATGCATCCGTCTTACAAGCCCGAGCTGGGTGGGTCCGCTGCACACTGCTCACCTCAGCACTCTAGATGCCTGAGGTTGCACGTTGCAGATGCCTTGCCCTATGCGAGCAATGGGCTGGAATTGCAAAGGTACAAGCTTGATATCTCTGTGCAGTTTGCAGGTCGTCACCTATCTTCGCGTTTCTTTGTTCCGATGCCCATCGATGCCATGCTACGGACCCACTAAACTCTCCACACCAGGGTCCGTAAGGCTGGTGTCTAAACTTGGAACCGGCCCTGTTCGGTCACGGTATGCTAGCGTCGAATTGTGCAGCACGTTATCCAGTACATCTGGACTTGCATGCGTATGTTTGAGACTCGATCAAAACTTCCAATGGCAATGTCTTGATGCTATGCGAAATGTGCTAAAATGCTTTCAAGATGCGACCATCCAATGTATCCAATGTAACCAATGTGTCCAACGTGCCCAACGTATTCGATGTATCCCACGTAAAACGCCAACAAGTATCCCACCGCCCTATCCAAAAGTCGTGTAGAATGCTCGCCTGTGTACCATGACTCCCAATGCTATGTTCACGATCATCCCACCAGCCCACTCCCAAACGCCAGCCAAGCCAACACCCCCGACACAACCAGCAACATTATCGCAACCACAAACATCGCAACAATATTCTCAACCGAGTACCTCACATCATCCGGCCTGACCACATCCACACCAATCTGGCTCTCCTCGTCTTCCTCGCGACCCCCGTGCTGGCCGCGCGGTACGTACTGGACGAGCGTGTCGCGATAAGACTGTCGGACTGCGATTGCGTATGGTGGTGGTGCGTCGGCTGGATAGAAAGCGTCACCGGGTTGGTGAGATATTTCCGTCGACTGCGTGTACGCGTGGGAGACGAGGTGGGCGAGGGGGACGTCGTCGGCGTCTGGGGTGTGGGGTGGTGAGTCTGTGTATGGTTGGTAGGGTGGACTGCGTCGTGACTGCCGTTGGCGGGTCGGTGAAGTGGTTTGACGCGTCGAGGGTGATGCTTCTGTTGGTGTTGGGGGGTCGTCGCGGTAGGGCTCTTCGTCTGCGTAGGGTGGAGGCGTTGCGGACAGCGGTTTTATGGTCGCGGACGAGTCTGAGGAGCTGGGTGATGTTTGGTGGGTAGACGATGTTCTTCGGTCTCGTGCCGGAGAGTCGCGGTATGGTGTAGTAGTAGTGTTCTGCGCAATGGTTAGCTGACATGATGCCAGAGGGGAGGATAAGCTGATGCACACCTCCATGACGAGTTTCCAAAGCCAGGTACGATGCGTCCTCTCTCAAATATGCCTCCAACACTGCCAAAAGAGCGTCCAATCCCCTCAAGCACTGCCAAAGCAGCTGCTGTAAGCTATGTCACCAAGATGCTGTTGAGCGCGATCAGTAGAGGCTGCGGCACGTTACACAGCACAGGAGGTTAGCAGTCGCGTAGTCACAGGCACATATCAAGTTGGAGAGCACAAGGCAGCTACGACAGGCGTCCAAGGCCTTCCGCAGCAGCGGCGCAGTAGTCCATAGCTGCCCCCATCGGATGGCTGGGGGGTAGCTGTCGGCCATGGATCCGCCCACTCGGACACATCCATGCGCTGTGACGATTGTGGCTATAGCGGGGACGAGTGGGTTTAGCGCTGAGGCGCGAGTCCTGGCTACGCCGCTGCCGGGCCGGTAAGGCAGACATTATGACATCGGCATGCCGTTGAATTTTATCGAGTATCGCGAACGAATACACACCAACATCCTCATATCGAAGGAGTGTTCTGCATAGCAAATTCTGTCGAGTTCACCAACTTCTCAACAAAGTTTGCAGCCAATATCAGTGCTTCCAAAGTTCCGAAGAGGAAGGACCATCGCAACGCACAGTTCCGAAACTGTGACCCGCGACGCGAGAGTGCCTGACATCTCAGGAACGCGTTTCAGGCTGAGAATAGTATCCAAATTTGCAAGCGCCTCACTTACCAACGGATGGTTCCGAAATTTGCCGATGCGCCGTTCCCATACTTCCTCGTGGTGTCGGCGGCGGCGGTTGTCCTGCAGCGATGCGGCGCTGTCACCGCCGGCGCTCGGGTGGATGATCTCCAGGATATACTCCGCGTTGACATCCAGAGATCACCCGCTGTAACACGCGAGAGTCACTGAGCACACTCTGAAGATATCATAGTGATGCTTAGCCGAACGCCCTGTGCTGTAATGCGACATCTCCCCACGCGGCGACTAACTTTACCGCCATCAAAGCTTGGGCACTTTCATGACTCTCGGATCTCCACGCGGTCTCGAAGAGTGCAGTTTAGATCCCCTCTCGGTCAAGTCGCTCTCTTCTCTTCGCGAGTGCAATCGACCAGAGAAGGTAGGAAGTCATCGTAGTCGCCCATGCTCTGCCAATCTGCCGTTGCTCACACATGCCAGGCCCTGACCCCTACAATTATACTGATGGCCGATGGCTCCGTCACGATGCACTGCACCGTCAAGCACGGATAATACAGTTCGACTTTGACTCTCTGTGTCAGAGAGTCGTGACACTGTGTCCGGGTGCTAGCTCGATCTCTTCTTATGAGAAGAAAGAAGGGGATAACAATCGAGTATTCATCTTCCACACTGATAATGGCAAGCGTGTCGTTGCGAGACTACCCTTCTCTGTAGCAGGGCCGCCAAGATACAGAACTAGCTCGGAAGTCGCGACCATCAAGTATCGTATGTTGTACCAAGCAAAAGATTGCACAAGAAGACCCAATAGCTGACGATCTTTTGTCTGAGTAGTACAACAGACTACGAGTATTCCTATCCCGGAGATTCTTGACTGGAGTGATGACGCTTCGAACCCCATTGGAACTGAGTACATAATCATGGAACACGCGCCTGGTGTTCCTTTGCACGAGAAGTGGCCAACTATGGACGTAGATGAACAATCTGAGTGCGTTAGTAAGATTATATTCGAACTCAAAGATCTTGGCAAACTCGAATTTCCGGCATATGGCAGCCTTTACTTTGCGAACACGCCGTACATTACCGCAGCTGAACTACCCTCTAACCCGGGCTACTGCGTAGGCCCTCACTGTGGATCTACCTATTGGGACTGTAATCCTCGCGAGCCACGATACTATCACACTGTCAACCCAAACAGAGGACCATGTGGGTATAGGCGCATACTGTAGTACCACCTGCCTGCTCACAGACATACCAGGGCCTAATCTCGCCGCATACTGCGACAGTCTCATAGACCTCGGTACCTCTCGAGTCCCCCCAAAGAACCTCATAACCAAACACCCCCACTGGCAAGAATTCCACGGATCAACCACAGAACACTACGACCTACTCTCACAAGGTCGCGCGCTGATAAAAGCAATGGCCCGTCACCCCTCGATCCAAGACTCTGCAAAGCCATCCCTCTTCCACCCATGTCTACACACAGAAAACATCTTCGTCTCAGAAGACACCCCCACAACCGTCACAGCAATCATCGACTGGCAGTCCTGCAGCATAGAACCAGCCTTCCACTACGCAGACATAGCACCAGACTTTGCGCAACCACGCCCGCACGTCGAGAAAGAACGCGAGTTGAGTTTCAAACGCGATGAATGCGGCATCCGCTTTGACGTGGGTCTTCTCGCATTCTTCGGTCCCATGTTTAAAGCCCGTCGAATGGACACTGCGTACCTCGACCCCTTCCGCTACTGCCACCGCACGTGGAAGGACGGCTTCATCCGCTTCCGCAACGAAATCATCCAGACGGCGCGGCGCTGGGAGGAATTGGGATTTGAAGGTCCTTGCCCTGTTGCTTTGCCCAGTGATGCTGAGTATGCGAAACACATGGAAGAGTACGAGACTTTCGAGGAGATTCAGGAATGGAAGGAGAGTAAAGAGATTGCGTTGAATAGAGGAGAGGATGGCTGGGTGCCGGCGGAGGCGTATGAAAGGATGCAGGCTTTGCATTTGGAGTTGCTGGAATATAGTGTTCAGCATATGTTTGAGGGTGAGGGGATTGGTAGGGATACTCAAGTTGAGAATTATGAGTATTTGAAGGAGGTGTGGCCTTTTGATTTGCCGCGGGGTTATAAAGAGGAGCTTAGGCGGGGGTGATGGGTGGTGAGTTGTGAGACAATGATGTAGGATGTGCTGACAATTGGGCGGGTGTTAACAGGGGACTCTCCACTCATTTTCGGTGTCTCCAAGGAGGATCAAAGAACCGGAAAGTCTAGGTACGGGTGTAAGATTATCGTGTACGTATAGAGCCTAGCAACAAAATGCTAGCATCCATGGACAAAAAGCTCTCGTAACTCGCGACTGTGCCCGGTTTGCCGCATTCGAACGCTGGACGGCTGCCATTCTTCGTACTTACTCCGAGCGCTGAGGTACATACACGGGCATTTTCCGTTCCAGCTACTGACGCAAGAAAAACCCCAAACATGACTAACTTCCATGCTGAAAGCTGCCCTGTGATCAGCGCAGAATCTTTCTCTCAAGCCATGAGGCTGTGCATGTGCGATTGAGCTTGGAAGCAGCTCTGTGGCCGCCGATCATAGCCTCGATGTGATATGTGGCGTCCGCTTCTGCAAGGCAGACTACCTATGCGGTCATTCGTGTCGCAGCCAATCGCGTCCAGGCACGCGACAGCTCAGATGAAGGACCTCTCTTGGCACGGAAACCCCATCTTCGACAGCTATCCATTTCCTCCCAGCCCGACCTGCTGTCTTTGTTCCTGACACTTTGGTAGTTTCATCCTTCTCTTTTTCAGGCTCTTTCGGTTGCAACCGCCGGCTTGCGACACCGCCCAGGTGACCTAGGCGAACGGGAACCATGACACCTACACTGTTATCACACGTTACCATCGATTCGGCGGCGTCCTATGTATCCGGCAGCTCAGCTCGACCCAAGAATGGAACTCTGTTCAGACGAGACGTACGCGAACAGTTGAAATCGTGAGAGTCCAATCAATACCGACTTGCTCCGATGTAGACTAACAAGGCAGAAAACCAAGCGCTGTCGCGTCCTCGGGCATTCAGCAATCGAACGAAGATTCTCACAATCTTGCACCACCACAACCGAGAGCGAAAGTTATCTCCTTCGCAATACCCCAGAGCTATGGGATAGAGCACCGATGTTCAAGTTCAGACCGATCAGAAAAGCTCAGATTGAACACAGCGCCGCCGTCCGCTCCTGTACAAGCATCTCAGGATATCGGCGTCCCCGATCCCCCGTACAAGCAGGCACAAGACTTCGGATGGCCAACTGAAAAAGAGTCTCCATCATCCTCTGTCAGCCCTGGTTACTTGCTGATATGTATGGAGAAGCCAGATTCTCGTGGGGCATGGGCATTACTTTGTACTGACGACTTGGGAACTGATCGTAACCTTTTTCACGTAATGCGTCTCCTGCGTAAGCAGCATTATGGTTGGCGAAGACACTTTTTGAGAGTTGAGGAGATACGCTATGTGAAGGTAAGTTAGTCCGGCTCGAAACGTTATCACTGTACGCTAAGCTCACAACCTCCAAGGTTACGATTGACAAGAACAAAGCAACCGATATGAGTTATCCCAGCCTACCACCAGATGACCATAGGGGATACCAATACGAACCCAGACCAGCGATACGCAAGCCTCCGCTGCCCCCTAAGCATCTGGCATCGGCTTTCCATGCTATGGGCATGGCTGATCGCAACGACGACGATTCCACCGTGATGTTTCGTAGTCTGCCACGGCTGACAGATACTGCAAAGTTCCACACACTTCAAGGCTTCAAAGCTGAAAAAGAGGATGTGTGGGGAATAGCCATCGTTGAGGGCTATTCTGCTCTCGGTCCTTTGTTGGTTATGTGTGGATTTTGCATTGCCATGCTGATCATCTTCACCCTATGGGCCACGCTCTCTCCCAACACTTGTGAGAAGCTCAGCAAGGAAGCCATAGTCGCGATTATTAGCGTCATAGTAGCGCTACCTGGAACGATCATACCTATATGCATGCTGATCATGTCGGCTCAAAAGCACGAGGATGAAGTCTACATACTCCGGGGTGTCATACAACCTCACATCGCGCTGGACTACGCCGCACTCAATCCATGGCTGAGGTTCATGGTAAGATCTACGCGACGTTGCTACTCTATTTGGCGACGGTGTCTATCTTCTGTCATCCCTTGGTTCGCCTTCGAAACGTCGAACCGTGTTCTCGAATCCCATACTGCGTCCAATTCTGTGTCCGTTCACCAAAATTCAAGTCGGTCGAACGGCATACCTGAAGGGGCATCAGGTAGCTCTGGACATGAGCGACCGAACAACACAAACGCTGGTGAAGGTTTCGTTCATGGTGTCGACTTCAGCTTTCGCAGTCTTGATAATGGAGAAGGCGGCGAGAACAATGGCGATAACAACGGCAATGGCGGGGGCACCGATGAAGGTGACAGCAACTCTAACGGCAGTGGCGATGGGAATGGTAATGGTAACGGCCTCTACACGATAGATCCGCAAGAGCCAGACCTCGAAGCAGGACACCTTTACCTACACATTATCATGGGCGCTGGCAAATCTGGCAAAAAGCAAGTCGCAGTCGAAGTAACGGGGATTGACAACGACTACGACCTGTTCAGTCAACTGAGGGAGGCCTACCGTAAGCGCCGCCCATGGTCATATCCGATGCTCATGGTCAAATCCATCAGCCCGGCTCAATTTCGACTTTTCAACCACGTCGACGTTGGCACAGTTGACCACGATGACGCCGCGAAGACCATGCCTGATATTCACAACCCTCCCTCGGAGTACGAGTTCAGCTACCTGCCTCGAGAACCCGTTCCCGAACCCCCACTTCTGCGTCCTGAACAACTGCTCTCGCTCTTCTACAACCCAGCCAAATCGATACACATGAGCCCCCATGGGCCCGTTGAGTACGAAACGCAATGTTATATGCGCTCCCCTAAACGCCGAGGCGCATTGGTATTTACGAACAACAATGGCTTTCCGACGGGCTTCGGCTTTGAGATCGAAGAGGAACTGGATAAAAAGTTCATACTGGCTTGTGAACTCCTCATTATTGTTGTATCCATACTGACAGCGGTGCTGTACATAGGCCTCATGAAAGGGGATCAGAAGTTTGGGTCGGCTGCTACTATTGGGGGTTACATCTTTGTGTTGTTGAATTTCCTTTATCTTTGTATCATCGCGGCGACAGAGAAGTACAGGCTCTGGGCGTATTAGACGACCATGTTAAGCTAGGAAACAACTAAACAGGTCTAAAGCCTACATTAACGTTAGGCTATCTACTTTACAGGTTTCTATGTTGATGTAGGCTGCTGTCAGACGTTAAACCTTATTTTGATACGGGATGCAAGAGATGGCAGAGTGATAGTACATTGTCTAGTAAGGATAGACGGATCGTTGCCTGCTTACGATTCTCAAGATCAACTTATACTCGCACTAAGGCAGGTCACCTGACTGTTTAGAGCGCAGGTTCCTGACAGTTGCAGACCTGTTTAGTTTTTCCTTGTATGAGGTGCGACATAGAAATAGACATGTGGAGGAGCATGTTTCGAGAGTTTTTGGTGCACATTACTATAGGTGCTTGTTCAGCTACTGTTCCCCTTCGAGAGTGATACCTTTAGCACCAATTCATTCCATTCGAAGGTACCCAATCGTTCATCTCTCATCGATGAAAGTTTTACCCCAGCCCTTGGGGATATAATGCAAATAATATGTCACAAGTTCTGTCCTCTTCACTTGACATCCCTCCGTTTAACGCCAACGCTGATAATGCAAATAAAGGTAGAGCCTAAGCTCTTACACCCGGACCAGGTACAGCAGGCGCCGCCTTGTTGACCTCAGGCTTGGTATCCTTTTCTGTGTTCTTCAGACGCGCCAAGATGACTGTGAGCGTCTTCTTCTCTCTTCCGTCGTTGTCCAGCACATGAATGAGATCACGGAGCTGAATGCCGGCGCCTGTTTCGGTCTGCTCAATGGTGTCGCCGAACTTGCGCTTCTTGCCCATGAGAGCCTTTTCGGGCGCTTGGACCGCAGGTGTAGCGGCGCCACTGCCACCTGTTGCTGCAGCCGGTCGTGGTGTAGATGCACCTGACGCTGGTCCACCACCACCGCCCGTCATCCACGAGTATTTCTTCTTCTTGCCACCAAGCGCCATGCTGGCGGTCTCGTTGGCTTTGCCAAACACGACAACGTCCGACTGACTCTGCTTCTTGGCGAACGCCAAAGCCTTCTTTGTCACAGGTTCCGGCATGGGTATTGGAGCAGCTGGCGCATCTGCTGAGGAAGCTGAGGCGCCTGCTTGACGCTTCGCGCGCTTGCGGAGGCGCTCCTGTTCCCACTTGTAGTCGTCATTAACGCGCTTCGTAAGTGCAATGGCAACGTGGTTGACGTTTTGGTATGTTCGCTGAGGGGTTGGGGGTGCTTCGCTTGGAGGCGTTGGTAATCGTCCCGCATTGGGGACGCCTAAGTCGATTAGCAATGAACTGGAAAACATTCAAAACCAACATACCCTTGCTGGCTGTCGCTGTAGGGCTGACAGCGCTGTCTGTTGCCTCCCATGGCGTCTTCAAGATGTTGACTGGCGGAGCCATCTTCTCTGATGCGCCCTCATCCACCACAGCAAGATCAAGCATCTGTGGGGGAATGATGCCATGAGAAGTATTTTGACGACCTTGACATAAAGCGAAAGAATCCTCAACTATGGTCCGGACACGCTCCTCGGCAGCCAGCGATATCAGCGTCAGAATCTCTACAAGTGGAGCGTTCTGATTCAGTAGACTGGCAGCCTCCAAGCCTACGATTTGTTCGCCGTTGGCACCAGCTGCAGTAGTACGTGCGATCTCTTGCTGACCCTTGTCTGGGATCTTGTCGAACAGGCCATCTACATTGATCTGGATACCGTGTTCATAGCCACGTTTCGCGATGCGATGTCTTAGGACACTTGCTGACAGGAACGGGTCATTCAGCGGCTGCTGGGCTGACTCGTTCAGGATCCTGGCGGCTTGCTCGTGCTTTCTGATGAACTCGGCTTCATGCTGCTCCTTGGTCATCTCTTGACTAAGTGCGCCGGTCCCTTGGAATGCGCCATGGCCCGACTGCTGGCTCCAGTTATTGAAGCTAGCATGTGGTGATGCTGTGGAGCCCGATGCTTGCGAGTTGAAGCTCCTGTAGTTGTGCAGCAGGTTGTCCTCCTCGGCGCGCAGATCGATACCAGATCCTGTGAGCACATCGCTAATGTTATTGACGTCCAGGTCGCGCGCATTTGCCTTTTCTAATTCCGAACTATCGCCAGTCTTGCTATAAGGGACCTTGGGTGGCGGCATAGAGCCCTGGGGCGCTGGCGGCTGTCCATTCGGGTGCTGATACGGCTGGGGCTGGTGGAAGGGCGGAGGCTGCATCGCGGCGGGCGAAGTGGGCAGTGAGTGGTAGCCAGGCGTCTGAGGGGAAGCGGTATACGGCGAGGGAGGGTATTGGGGCGCGCCAGGCATGCCAAAAGGCGACTGGTACGGCGCAGGCGATGGCGGGTTTGGCGACAGGCGCTGTCGCTTATTCGGAGGGATGCCGCTGCCCATGGTCGGGGACAGGGCGGTCGGCGACTGCTGGTAATTCTGCGGTGAGAAAGCGCGCGGCTGTTGCTGGTGGCCCAGATTCTGCGTTTGCACGGGTGGCGGGGGCTGCTGGCCCGGCGGCGGATACTGGTAGTTGTTCGGGTAGGCCATGGTGGGCAGCTCGTCCCTTTCGGGGAGTCGCGCTGGCAGAGTGATTCTATAGGCGCGTCATCCGGCAGCAGTATAGTCGGGGCTCGGTAGCGCTTGCGATGGGACGTGTTCGGTGGGCAGGCGCGGTGGGTGGAGTTGGCAGGCGCGTCGGGGTTGGTGATGTCGCGGTTGGCAGAACGGACGATGAATCTGGGAATGACGAGCACGGACAAAGTCTTGGCAGTCGCGCGCCAGACAAAGAGAGCCGCAACGGTCAACCAACTACCACTCCGCTCTCACTCGACGCTGCCACGACTTTCTTCCCACCCTTGGGCGTTTCCATTGAGGCGTTGAATATCCCTGCGACACCAACTCACGATTAATGAGCTAGGTCCAGGCGCGGTTTGTAGATATCTTACGCGTTCTTCTTCGGCTACCACCTGGGCATCCACCAACCCCGTAGCCTCACCTCCGTCGCCCGTATAACGCCTAGTAACACATCCACATCTCAACCCACACAACAATGGCGTCGAAGAGAAAGGCGACGGCGATGGCGCCCGAGGATGAAGACCCGATAGATCCTTCCGACGAGCTCATGTTCCTCTGTTTAGGAGGCGGTAACGAGGTCGGCCGCTCGTGTCACATCATCCAGTACAAGGGCAAGACCGTCATGGTGCGCATTCAGGACCCGCATACTCTCCGGCAGCCATACTAACGAGGGACAGCTTGATGCCGGTATGCATCCCGCACACGAAGGCTTGTCCGCCATGCCATTTTACGATGACTTCGATCTTAGCACCGTAGACGTGCTACTAATTTCACAGTATGTATACGCGCGTCTTGCTTGCCATGGTAGTTGGGGTTCGGCGCATCACTGGAGTCGGACCATGAGCGCGCAAAGGGCACTCGCAATACAGCGACTTGTATATCACTATGAATGGAATATAATTTGCTTCCTCCCGCTCGACTTCGATGATGTGCCCCTCCCTGGTTCCCACGGATGTATCTACAACTTTGGGCGCTTCTTCCGGGCTCACCCTGAGTCCTCCAGTCGTCCTCCAGCATGCTGACATCAGGCTAGTTTCCACGTCGACCATGCTGCCTCTCTACCCTATGTACTTGCGAAGACCAACTTCAAGGGCCGCGTATTCATGACACATCCGACCAAGGCCATCTACAAATGGCTCATCCAAGACTCTGTCCGTGTCGGTAATATGTCGAGCAATTCCGAGACCAAGATCCAAATGTACACCGAGGCGGACCATCTCAACACCTATCCTATGATTGAGTCAATCGACTTTTACACCACCCACACTGTCTCCGGTGTACGGATAACACCTTACCCAGCTGGCCACGTACTTGGAGCGGCCATGTTTCTTATGGAGATTGCAGGCTTAAAGATACTCTTCACCGGCGACTACTCGCGAGAAGACGACCGACATTTGGTATCAGCGTCTGTACCTCCAGGCGTAAAGATCGACGTCCTCATCACCGAGTCAACATTCGGTATCTCGATGCATACGCCACGTGTCGAGCGAGAGGCACAGCTCATGAAGGCCATTACCGATGTTCTCAACCGCGGCGGCCGAGCCCTGCTCCCAGTCTTCGCTCTGGGACGAGCCCAGGAACTCCTACTCATTCTTGACGAATACTGGAGCAAGCATCCAGAAGTTCAGAAGATACCCATATACTACAACTCTAGCTTAGCTCGTAAGTGTATGCAGGTCTACCAAACGTACGTCTCGGCCATGAACGACAACATCAAACGTCTCTTCGCCGAGCGCATGGCCGAAGCCGAAGCTGCAGGCGATACTGGTCGACGTGGAGCTTGGGACTTCAAGTTTGTCCGTTCGCTCAAGAGTCTAGAGCGCTTCGACGATCTAGGTGGGTGCGTCATGCTTGCCTCGCCAGGTATGATGCAGTCTGGTACATCGCGTGAGCTACTTGAGCGATGGGCACCCGACCCAAGGAACGGTGTCATCATCACCGGTTACTCCGTCGAGGGCACCATGGCGAAACAGATTGTTCACGAGCCGGACCAGATCCCAGCAATCATGTCCCGCGCTAGTAACGCAGCACGCCGGCCAGGTCAGAGGGAGAATGAGCAGGCCATGATTCCCCGACGGTGCACAGTCCAGGAGTACAGTTTCGCGGCGCACGTTGATGGAAAAGAGAACATGGAGTTTGTGCAAGAAGTCGCCGCTCCTGTCGTTGTAAGTCTTGCTCGTTCCACGTTCTCAGTGAAACCACGTACTAACCAAATCTCAGATCCTTGTTCACGGTGAAAAGGGTAACATGACACGTTTGAAGTCGAAACTTCTTTCCTTCAACGCCCAGAAAGCCGTCCCCACGAAGATTTACTCGCCCGCCAACTGCGAGGAACTTCGCATTCCGTTCAAGACCGATAAGATCGCCAAGGTGGTTGGAAAGCTAGCATCTATTGCTCCGCCCTTACCTCGCTCTCTGTCATCCAACGGTGAAGGTGAGGCTGCTGAAGACCAAGAAGGAGAGAAGGTGGATATGATCAGTGGGGTTCTCATCCAGAACGACTTCAAGATCTCTCTCATGGCGCCTGAGGATCTCAAGGAATATGCTGGTCTGACCACAACAACCATTATGTGCCGTCAGCACCTTACCCTATCAGCCGCCGGCATCGACCTCATACGATGGGCTCTTGAAGGAACCTTTGGCGCTATCAAAGAGAGCAGTCTCACCGATGCAGCCGTTGACGGCAAGATGAATGGCAACGGCACAGGTCACAAGGAAGAAGCAGACGAAGAATTCAGCCGCACAGAAACAAAGTTCACAGTAATGGACTGCGTCAACGTCCTCATCAAGAACGGAGGAAGAGTAGAAGTAGAATGGGAAGGCAACGTAATCAACGACGGCATCGCCGACGCCGTCCTCGCCGTCCTCTTCACAGTCGAATCCTCACCAGCAGCTGTCCGACGTAAGTCTCTTCCCTCCCCTCTTACCTCGCATACTAACCCTTTCCCTAGAATCCTCAAAACAGCACACCCACAGCCACGCACCCAAACCAGAAGAAGAAGACGACGACATAACCACCACAAAACTAACCCACCGCTTCAAAAAGCCACACCCGCACCGCACAACCGACCCCTCAACACGCCTAGCCCGCCTCTTCCTCTTCCTCGAAGCCCAATTCGGCGAAGAAGCCGTCCGCCCCATCACCCTCCCCCGCAACAGCACCACAACCGCCACCACAAACGGGACTCCCGCCGCCGCCGCCGTTCACCCAGATTCCATGGACACCTCATCTACCTCCTCCCCCGACTCCACGGAGCCATCCAACATATCCAACATCACCGCGTTCCCGCCTCCCATTGCACCCGACGACCAGTTGTCCGCGGAGGACAAGGCGGAGTTGAAGAGGCTGCATAATTTGGGGATTCCGGTTCCCGGCGTGGAGATCAAGTTTGATAGGTTTGTGGCCAAGGTTTGGTTGGAGGATTTGGAGGTCGAGTGTGCGAATAATGCGCTTAGGGCGAGGGTTAAGGCTGTGGTTGAGAGGGGGGTTGAGACGGTTAGTGGGTTGTGGCGGTAGAGTGGGGGTGGTTTGGGAGGGGGTTTGGGGTGGCGAGGTAGGGGAGACGGATGGGGAGAAGGAGGAGAGTATAGATCACGTAGAGGAGGTCTTCGGAGGTTCAATCATAGTGGAAGGATTTGCCTTTTTTTTCCTCATTCGCGATTACTTTATGGAGAATTTCGATTCGTTCGTGGGGTTCACTAGTATGGTAGAAAGTTTAAACAACAGTAACTCCAATATCCCGATTGCCAAACAACTCCGTGTCCGTGCATCCGCCTGTAAGCTGGCAAACCGCCAGCACCAAGGTCCAAGAACAGGCCAACCAATCTTATCCCTCCAAATGCCACTCCGGAACCTCAACCATAGCTTTTCCATCATGCGTGGGTCGCAGCACCGGCGTCGCGGGCATGCGCGGCGTAGTACGCGATCGCAGGTACTGAATCACCCTCAACAACAGCTTGGAGTGTGAAGCACGTCCCAGGGTGAAGCGGTCTGGGAGGTCGATGTCTTCCCATTCTGTTATGTCGATCTCTGGGCTGTTTGCGCGTGAAGAGAAGCCTGATTGTTGCGACTCTGATGTTGGCGCGTCAGAGGACGCGGTGTCGAGGGACGTAGTCGACATGGTTGAATATGTTGATACCGAATACAGTGAAGATTTTGAAGACGATGTCCGCGATGAAGTTCGTGACGATGTCCGTGAAGAAGTTCGTGATGATGTCCGCGATGATGTCTGCGAAGAAGCCCTTGAAGGATGGGCTGACGGGAACGGAGACGGCGAGGAATGCGGCTCAGATGGCATGACGTCGAGCTCGTAGTCTTCGGCGTGTTTTGGTTCTTGAGATTTTGGCTTGATGGTACTCAAGTGCGCGTTGACGAGCTGTGAGAGCAACATGACTGGAACCTTGGCTGGTTTCGGATGGTGGTGGATGAAAAGCGTTGTGTGAAGAGTGCTTTTGAAGGGCCTTGTGACTTTTGTGAAAGACTTGTGTGTGTGAAAGAGTTTTGTGAAGAGTTGAATGTGGAATTTTGAAATAGTCACGGCGGCCTCTGTTTATATACTCTGATGAATATGGTGAACCGTGGACGTGACATGCGATCCAGTGTAGAGATGCGTGATCCATGGTTGTGTCGAAAATCACACTGGTGTGGATTGGCCCATTCGACGCACCTCAGCCATGTGATTAGCATAGGTAGACTGAGCAGGAAGAACTCGTGCTGTGATTGTTTCGATGCGTAGACATCACCGCGCGGGTATGAATTCCGCATCCCACGCTATTGGTGTAGCATTGATTGTGAAGGCAGTGACGACTAGAGTATCCATATGTAGTTCACAACCATGGTCTTGTGCGAGCAGAACCTGCACCAGTATTATCCCCAATAAAATGTTAGAACGTCAGTCAGCTTACGATGCTTTAATGTATAGTACTGATGTACCACCAATCAGTGCGAGGAGTTTACGTGGGTCGGAGGCTCTAGCGCGGATGCGCGAACGGTTGCGTCAGGCCAATCCAAACACTGCCGATGACTGCGAACAGGAACATTTCGATGAGCGCTTTACTTTCGAAAGGGGCAGCACAGTGCCCTCTTCGACTCGACATGATGATGAATACGAGGCGTCGGACGTCGATCTCGAGGACATCATAGCCCAACTCGACGACCTATGTCGAGAAGAAAACGCTTCATGCCCACCGCATCTTGACATCGATGAAGAAGTGGCGGACGGAAAGCAGTACCGGGATGTGGCAGCGGCGTTAAGGGCTGATGAGCCAGGCATGGATACCTCAGTCCTGGAGCGAATCAGGAACGCAGACGGATCAAGTGACCGAGTATTCGACGACTTACTTGCTCCGTTACGTTTAGAGCCACTACTGTTGGAAACCGAAGAGTCAGAAGAACACATGTTAGACGTAATACTCACTTGGAACAAGCGCATTGCCGACCAGCGTAACAGTGACTCGACCGAGCGCCAGGCCTTTGTTGCTGCTCTCAGGGAAAGAGTGAAGGTTGTCGACCAGATCTTGGCGATTGTCAGTGACAACAGAAATAGCAACCAGGACAATGAAACTGGACAGAATGGTATCCTGGAACCTTCTCAACGTCAATTACTGAAAGCCATCCACGCATACCGGCCAGAAACCAAAGGCTTCAAGACTCAGGATCCGTTCAACATGCTCATCATTATGTTAGCGCATATCCGACAGAAGGAGTTTGAGCTTGCCAATAAGGACGATGGCATATACCTTGCTCTCAAGGTATTGAGCGGACAGGAGCAGCTGGAGCACCGATTCGACCGTGAGAAGAAGAGACGTGCGTATCAAAGGAACAAAAAGAATGCAGAGGAAGATGAGAACAGGGAGGAAGTAAAACGATGCGAGACCAAATGGAGAGCTTATAACAGGAAGCCGGCAGAAAGAGCGCGACAAGGACTGATGGCCAAGATCCAGTGCGCGCAGAACGAGTTGAGAAAGGCCGGAATCGACGAGCTGCTGGGTCTGGCGGTACTTCGATCAGCACAGCCACGAGCCTCAAGAGAAGCTCACCCGAGTGTCTACACTCCGTCGCTTGAGGAGATAATGGATAAGTGCACCCAAGCAGACGACTACGACAATCTTGACCATGAGTTTGCAGAGCAGTTCCCGCATCTGGAGACTAAGCTGGAAGTGACTTCAAACAATGCGCAAGACATGAAAACAGTTCATGACACGGCGTTGTTCCGGATGGCGAAGCTCGCCGGTGCTGATCTGAAGGGCCTCGATAAGGATGAGAGGAAAAAGGTAATGACGGCGCGCCTTAACGACCCCGTTACGGCGACGGTAATTGAGGAGACACTCAAGGGCGTGACGGACACACGTCGAGCAGCGAAGCAGATGCTCGAGCAGCTTGGGTTGATAGGGCAACCCATGCGTGAGTTGCTGGAAGCTGTAACGGCGAAACGCGACGACCTGATTGAACTGACACGCCTGATCAATCGCGAGGAATGTCCAGATACCAGCAACGAGATCCAAGAAGGGGAGTAAGAGGACGAAAGGAAGTTGGCGATGCTGGCGGAGATAACGCTCTTAATTCCGGTTGTTGAGGTTTCTGATTCCGATCGATCTCAGTACGTCGCTTTATGTATGTCAATTTTTGCGTCTCGTAAGGCTGAACGCCAGCGGTGCCTGGCTTGAGCGATGTAGAATAATGCGCAATCTTAGTACTGCTATAGCACCAACCTGCCCTGCGCATCGGAATTCGGGTGCGGGATTAATTGACACCGGTGGCACGCACTAAGGCGCGGTGATGTGAATGGAGGGTGTGCTGCAGGGCGGATATCCGGATTGCAGTCGGGAAAGAACGGGTCCAGCGCCAAGCACAAAACTTCTCATCAACTATCGCGGCTTTCTAATCTCCGCCTGTCCATCTTCACCACCACCAAACCTCTCCACTCCACTTCCTTCGCTTCTACCATCCATACCAGCGAAATGGCCACCTCTCCTCCCCCCACCGCCACCGGCTCCAGCAAGGTCGATGCCGCAAAGGCTAAGCTTGCGGCCGCTGACCCTACCGCGCCCACTGGCCTGGCCCTGTACTCGCGATTCGCTTTCGCCGGTGCCGTCTGCTGCTCCGTCACCCACGGAGCCCTCACACCCGTCGATGTGTACGTTATGCCGCTCTCAATGGCTCGGGACGATGTCAATGGCAGCCTCGCACACGCTTTGCGACAGTTGACAGATATCGAAAATGACGACAGAATGCCAAGCTAACATGTGCAACAGCGTCAAGACCAGGATACAACTTGACCCCGTCACCTACAACACCGGTCTGATCGGTGGCTTCCGCAAGACCATCGCCAATGAGGGTATGGGCGCTGTCTGGACCGGTTTCGGTCCCACCGCTGCCGGTTACTTCCTCCAGGGTGCCTTTAAGTTCGGAGGTTACGAGTTCTTCAAGCAGCAGTCCATCAACCTTGTCGGTTACGAGACTGCCGCCAACAACCGCACTGCCGTCTACCTCGCCTCTGCCGCCGTCGCTGAGTTCTTCGCCGATGTCGCCCTCTGCCCTCTCGAGGCTACCCGTATCCGTCTCGTCGGTGACCCAACCTTCGCCAACGGCCTTGTTGGTGGATTCTCCAAGATCCTGAAGAACGAGGGTGTCGGTGCCTTCTACTCTGGTTTCGGACCCATCCTGTTCAAGCAGTATGTACATTCCTCTGATTGGAAGTTGGTTTTTGGCTAATCATCCACCAGGGTTCCCTATACCATGGCCAAGTTCGCCGTCTTCGAGAAGGTCAACGAGGCCGTCTACTCCGTCGTCGACAAGAGCCAAACCTCCAACGGCATGCAGACCGTCTACAACTTGGGCTCTGGTATCATTGCCGGTTTCGCCGCCGCCATCATCTCCCAGCCCGCCGACACCATGCTCTCTAGGATTAACAAGACCAAGGGTCTTCCCGGAGAGGGAACCACCTCCCGTTTGATTAAGATCGCCAAGGAGCTCGGTCTCCGCGGATCTTTCGGTGGTATCGGTGCCCGTCTTTTCATGGTCGGTACCCTGACCGCTGGTCAGTTCGCCATCTACGGTAAGTTTTTTTCTCAACGCCTTCTGTCGCGCCCAAAGCTAACTCCCGGAAGGTGATATCAAGAAGGCACTAGGTGCTACAGGCGGAGTAGAAATCGCTAAGACTAACTAAGTTTTCGTCTTGTGCGATGCGGAGAGAGTGACGGAGGAGATGATACCAAGACAGCCATGACAGCGGGTCTCGAGGTGGACTTGTCACACAAAAAGTCTGTCTTTTCTTGCATAATGGCTGGCATGGGTTTGTTCGATATCACATTTCTTCTATGTGTTTTGCGTTTATTTGCAGTCATTCAAGTTAGATCTTGCTTCGCTTAGACGGCGATTTTATGTAACAGTACGATCGAGTAGGAAACATACTGCACAATAGACCCAACTCATAATGTCCAAGCACTGCATTCCACGTGAACTGAACGGCGTTGAAGACCGGGCATTCAATAATGCTGATGATATTCTTAACATCAAAGACTTCATGCCCTATGGGGAATCTAAGGTCTAGGAGCAAGTCGTATCGTCTGGACGGATACAAAGCGTACTTCTTCAACATCGCGACTTGTACCACACCTCTGGTTCTAGACCACAAAATGGCAGTTGTAGATCTGACATCTTCGAGTAATACGATGCCGCCCAAGTGCCGGCCCTATGGCACTAGTGAAAGGCATTAGCACGTTGTGAGGTACATCTGACACCGTCATGACGTTGGATCGTGTAATCCAATAGCTCTTAAGACCATTGAATCCTCTTGCCCGACTATCTTGTACTACTTCTCTTCCCTCAATTCTCCCCAAAAGTCGACCATGTGATACAGAGTACTTCAAGAGAGATGTCTCCGCGTGTTTGCAGTCCGAGATGCAACAATTCCGCCAACAACACTTGCTCGATACGACGTGCTTGATTTATCTCAACATTTAAGCACACCCGCTCCTAGAAGGCCATAAAGTACTACGACGGCATCAAGGACATGTATCAACACTACAAGTCGGCTCCAGGATTTTGTGTCCGACATCAGACGACGCTCTCAAAACCGCTGAGTAACTCTCGGGCCCACTGAGTAGAACGTAATCTTCGCGGTTTGACACTATGTATTCCTCTACACTATGTAGATTCTGGAGTTCTTAAGCTGTCCTGCTACAGCTTTTGGTGGAGCTACACAACCAAGTATGAGTGCCGGCATACCAAGTATGAGACAGCGTCCATCCAGGCTGACGTGCGAAACTTCGTCAACAATCAACTGGCGACTGATGAAAACCTCAGCATCAGAATGAAAACCAAGGCCGTCGCGCATTCGGACGACCTGACCTTCATCATCACAATGCTGTACCAGCCCAACTACTTGTCAACGTTTGGGAGCATGAGGTTAGTCCTAAACCTCACGCTGTACATGCTTCTCGTCGTCGACACATGTGGCCGGGGGGGTGAGTTTGCGCGCAATCCCGTACGACCTGAGTATATGTGTCTGCGATGGGAGGATATAGAGTTCTACTCTTTCCAGTGCGACGACGATGACGATGACAAGTTCGACATCCGAGCCCAGGTCAAGATCAGATGGGCAAAAGGCCAAACACTCGACGACTCGGCCTACAAGACGGTACCATTTCCTGGCCTACTGCCGACGTCCATGGCGCTTCAGGATACACTGCGTTTACTGCTCACGCTGGCTATGATGGACGACGACTTGATGGACAATATCCGAAGCTGGGACGATCTTCGGTCTCTACGACTCCCCGCTGAGGTTGCAAGCACAGGTCGAAGGCTAAAGATACGGCCAAGCATGCGTGAGGTTCCGGTACTGCGGAAAATGATCGACCATCGCCTCACCAAGATGCCGCAATGGACGACAGATATGCAGAGCGAGATCCGCAGACTGGGTCAATTTTGCGGGTTTGAGGAAACCTTAGTTGCGTACTGCATGCGGCGCGGTGTAGCGTACACATTGGCTACACGTGCATCTGAAGAGGACCGGGTATTCCAAGGTTCCTGATGGGTCACAGTCGTCAGGTAAGGATCGATTTACGCCAAATGATCTGCCAATGATGAACTTAAAGCTGACTACTGGCAGGTTTTCCCCAACTATAAGTCGCGCATATCGACCGTGGACTTTGCTGCCATGTATCGGAACATGCTGGAACGATCGGTTCTTGTGCAGACAGGAGGCTCGCTGAACCGCAGTACAGAGGCACCAACTACGATATCGGACAAAGGACGGCTTCGCATGCAGGAAGATGAACGAGTCAAGAACGCTCGGCAGACATCAGACGCTGTGCGGGCCACCTGCACTCTCCGATCCAAGCACGGGAGCTTGACGGCAGCAGCAAGAGCAGGCGACCCACAATGGGAAGAATACCAAGCCGCCGAGGCAGAGCGAAAGGCGATGGTCAACCACGTCAGCATCAAGATCTTCAGGACCGAGTACAAGGAGCATTTTGAGTCACTAGGGTTCACCAAGGCAGCCCTGTTGCAGCTCGACGACGCCATCACAGAGGTAGCCACAACGTCAGACGGTGTCCAATCTGATGCAGACGTCTCCGATCTCCCACTCTTCGTAGCAGAAGACGAGGATATAGACGCTTACGACGCTTTACTGAACACACGCAACGCAGAAGTGACACCTTCGACAGAAGAGCAGGAAGAGTTGGAAGATCTTTTTGGTGATAGCACAGGGCTTGACATGGATATCACGGACAACATCCAGAGCGCAGAGGAGATAGACACTACCCTCGATGACTCCAGACAGATGGCGTTGCACGGTCAGTCGCTCGACAACCTCCGCTCCCTCAAAAAATATGCTCAGTCCACCAAGGGCCACTCGGCCTACAATGATATGGTAGAGGACGTGAGTGCCTGCGAAACAGAGGGACAGGCATGTGCCGTCTTGATGCAATGGTACAGCATTTGCCACCCGATCGATGCCTTCAACATCGGGGAGGAGCCGTTCTGTAGAACAAGAAGAGATGTGATTGTTCTATAGAAGAGGGAGGAAGCCCTGTATAAATAATACTAGGGCGACGCTAGTGCTAGCGTAGGTAAATTACGTAATAGAATCCTAACTAACAGCCTCTCTAGAACCTATTATAAGGTAAATATATAAAAAATAAAAGAGAAAAGAAAAAGAAAGAACTAGTTACTAAGAATAAGACTACTTTAAAGTATTATACTATAGTAAGAGTAGTCTACGTTAGAGTTATAGGTATTACTTAGCTACTTACTATAGCAGAGCTACTATATATAGCTGTCTTTGCCTTTGCGTAATATAGTTTGCTTAAAATATAGGTTAGTCTAGATACTACTAAATAAAGTAATAAGCTTCTTCTTCTTATAATTCTTAAGCTTCTTCTAGTATATCTAGTGTAAATAGAAGTTTATATATTTATTCTACGCTTTCTTATACTCTAGAGTTATACTAGAGTTAATAGTAAGCTACTTAGAAGCGAGAGCCTCTATATAGTTAGCGTCTTTATATAAG